TAGGAAGGGGCACCTTACTGAGGAAATAACAGAAGCAGGCAATTTTTATGGAAAAGTAAGAAGTCAGCCCATCCCCAGTGTGATGGTCCCAGTCTGAATCATACATGCATGTATGTGTGTGTGCATGTGCGCGCGCACGCACACACACACACACACACAGGGGAGGGGGGGAGGGAGAAAGAGATCAATAGTTAAAGAAACATGTTCACAATTGTATCCATACTTGTCTTTTACTTTAAATCAGATGCTTACTTGAGTGTCTGATAAGATCATATTAGGAGTTCAAAATATGTAGAAAATTCAACCACTCCCCCATGGATTGAAAGTACACTGGAATACCTTCTTACACCTGTAATTCCTCTGCATTATTTAGGTTAGTATGGAAGATCATTCTTCTTAAAGCCCTGCTCCTCTGAGTAAATTTTTATTTGGATTTCATTATCTAAAAGTGTTTTCTCCAGGGCTGCACATTTGTGAGGCTGTGAGCAGTGGCACCCTTTCCAAGAAGTTACTAAACGGAGAGGAATACTGTAGGCTAAGTGGCTTCTTTTCAGGTTTCCGCTTAATTTCATGCTTCTATTGCTTTCTAGTCCAAACAGTACATGCAAACCCATTGGGCTATTCAGGCAGGTCAAGCAGGGCAAAAAGAACCAGAAAGGAAGGTGGGGAAGGGAAGCAAATAAAACCCTACTTGAAAGTGTATGCAATATTGTATGGCTTCAACCCTATTTTTTGCCCATTTCAATGGATTTGCAGTATCGCACCCAAAGTTTTCCAAAAATGTCAGACAAGTTTACCACAGCAATTAAGCTGTCTACCATCTGCAAAAGATTTAGCCAAGAGGCTCCTTAATTCTTCCCCAGCCACCCACCAGAATGGATTTGGTTTACGCTTTTCAACAATTTTCCCTCCCATTGAAATCCAAAAGGCATTCAGTGCTGCAAAGTTTTTAAAGAGGAACATCTTTCCCTTTCCAAGACTCTGTGGTACATCGATATTATAGAAATCAGATGAGATTACATGTGACATTATTTATGTTGCAGCGAATGTGTGAAATTTGATAAATGTCAGCATTCATATGTGAAATATTTGTTTTGTGAATGTCTGAAAGTATTACATGAATACTGATAAACCCATTTTGATCGCTGTTGATATCCCCTGCTATATCTGATTTTTGGTGGTCACGTTTGGGTAGGATTATCAACATCCATGGGGTCAATGCAGACACACGCATATGTGTGGAGTGAGGGAGCTTTCTCTTATTCATATTATTTTAACTCTCATGAGAAATCTTGCCACTACTCTTAGGAACAAAAGCCTGGCTATGAAAGGCTGTCCTGGGATAGAGATCAACACTCCTTATTCTCCTCCCAAATGGTGAGTTACGTTCAGAAACATTAGCCCTAGTGTGAATGTCATGGGTCCACTACACTATGTTTAGAGCTCCCTAAAAGAACATAAGAACACTCAAGCAACAATAGTAGAGTATATTTTACTAGGGAAACATTGTGTTTTCTTGGCCAGTTTAGAATGCAACGTAACCAAGCTAAAACTGTCATGAGTAAAGGGTATTCTTTACTTGCTACCGCCCATGTGGGTTGCAAGCCTGCTGATTGTTTCCAGTTGCCGCTCTTAGCTGTGCTATTTTTCACTCCTTGATGGAAACTATTCCAAAGGCAGAAGAGCTATAATTTTAACTCCCTTTTGTAAACAGAAATTGCAGATGACAAATAATCAAGCAGCACATGTTCCTTGCCTCGTTTTCCTCCTCAGTGTTTATGCATTTCATCATTATGAAAGATCAGGCTGTGCCATAGTATGTCTGAAGATGGGAGCAAATGCCAATTTACAAGCAAAGTTATTAGCACCGTGGCAATCACTATACAGCTACAGCCTTCTGTAAATATAGTTTTACCTTGCCTGTTCAAATATAGTTTTACCTTGCCTGGCTCTCTGGTGTAAGTCAGTTTACACCAGAGAGCCAACATAGAATGCCCTAATTTCCTGAGTGGACATTGTTCATTCATTCATTCAGTTTCATTTAATTCCATTCCTAATATGTATATACCACTTAAGATAACAACATCTTCAAGTGGTTTTTTCAGTTAATCATACCCTTATGGATCTCCATTACTTTCTGCATCGTGTGCCAGCGTGGGCCTCCCTAGAGGAGAAGTGTAGTCATCTGCAGTTGACATCCCTTTGGTCTAGGCACATGCCTCCCATTACTGTATCTAGATTCCCAAGGGTCCAGCAGAAGAATGGAGCTGGGGTAGCATCTGTGTGTGCATTTGAACTCCTGTGAATGAGGTGCCACAGCCTGTAAGAGAACATGAGCTACAAGAATCTTGACTGTGGAGCTTGTTGATGGCTACAAGAGAGTTCCTGAGGTGTTCATAGCCACTATTATCATATGCCTCTGACTCATCTACACTATTGCTAACTGCTTGGAAGCTGGGGATTTGCGTTTCACCTGAAATTATTATCGATTTATTGATCTCTTACTTTCTTTCCTCTTACAAGGAATCTAAGGTGGCTTACATGATCATCTCCATTTTCTCCTCACAACAGCCCTGTGAAGTGGGATGGTCCAAGAATCAGTGACTTGACTCAGAGTTATGATGTGCCTAACAAATTACTCTTGGGATCAGTGTACAAAGTCAGAGCCAAAGTAGATGAAATAACAGATCCATGACTGGATCTTCTACCCCTTTATCCCCACTCTTAAGGGTGACCCTATGACTGGAATGTCCTCTCCATGGCAGCCCTGCTCAGCTCTTGTTCATTCAAGGCTATGGCTTCCTTTATGGAATCAATCCATCTCATGCTTAGCATTACTCTTCTGCTTTCTACTTCCCCTCGGAAGACTTTCTTCTGCAATGATTCTAACCTTCTCTTGCCCAAAGTATGACAGCTTCAATTTTGTCATGTTTTTACTTCCAGGGAAAATTTTGGCTTGATTTGAGTTAGGATCTGGCTTTTCATCTTTCTGCTGTATTTGCAATGCTCCCCTCCAGCATTATGTTTTGAATGCATTGGCTTTCTTCCTGTCAGCTTTCTTCACTGTCCAGCTTTCACTTGCTTACATAGTGATAGGGAATACAGTACTGCAGATAATCTTGGCCTTGGTCACCACTGAAATGTCCTTACACTTGATGCTATTTTTCCAAAGTAGGCCATAGAAAAGGCATTTCAGCCTCTGAGAATGTGAGAAAAATGGCAGAAAAACCAGACAAGCACCAAAAGGGCAGTTGGGTGGATAGTCATGGGAAAGAAGACATAGTCCTGTATGCCATGGCTGCTGTCAGGTTACTGCTGCCGCACACATGTGCCATGCTGCTCAGTTTTGACACACCAAGCCAAAAACAGGTAAACAGGGGAATGCTACCCGCAGGCAATTGGCCCATGTGGCAGGGCTTATTTCCCTCATTGCAACTGTGTGGAATGGTGCACTGGCTGCCTAAAATTGCCCACTGAGCTTCATGATTGAGTGGAGACTAGAATGTGGATCTTCTAAGTCCCAGTCCAGCCCCCTAGCTTTCCACTGGAAGATTCAGACATGCATGTTGAAAAACAACCCTCATGGGGTCCATAAAGCATTCTTCACCATTAAAATATTAACATCTGACTCTAAATGGGCATGACAATAGTTCACTAGCTCCAGTCCTGAGCTGGCCATGGGGGTTCTGTGAATAGCTGAGATAGGAAGGTGTACATCAGTGTTTTGCCAGTTTGCAATCTAAGTTTTGACAGTAATGTTATTGCCGCTATTATTGTGACAGCATTAACATTTCAATACGCTGCACAGGTTGTTTCAACAGCTAATTGCATGTTTTATAGGCCCTTAGTGATCCTTGGATAAAGGCTGGTAAGCCAAAAATGTTATTGCTGCTTTCTCAAGAGAGGAGGAGGGAGACAGAGGGAGAGGAGAGGACACACTGAATCTGGAACACTTGGCCAGAGTTTGAGAGCCACTTCAAATAAAAGCACATGGAACAGTCCTCTCAGTCTATCTGGGGGCATGGTTTGCATATTAGAATGCTATGTGACATAAGAAATCCCTGAATTTGGAAAATATGATTGCCAGGGAGAAATGCTAACTTTCCCTATGAGGGGCATTTTTGTGATTAGGGAACATTGAAACAGTCTCAGAAGGACTCTGGCATGCAGCATTTCTGAACATCTGAACCAGATGTCAGTTATAAGTGATTCTTTAGATCATTCTACAGTTGAAGCCAAACTAGAAGAGATAAATCCATGACTGGCTCGCCTACCTCTCTACACACACGCCAAAAAGCAGCAAGGTGGGTGGCAAGTTTCAGACTGGGACCAGAGTGCTTGATGAGCAAGGAGTTAACTCACAAAGGATCACTGTTACCACCAGAAAAAAGAAGATACCTTGCTAGCAATAGAGAATCTATTGTTTACTTCACACTTTAAGCTGAGGGAGCAGAGGGTGTTGAACATGGTTTACCTCAAAGGCTGAACTGACTTTCAGGAAGTTCTTGGGGGCCACATCACAGCAATAGTGGGGGGGGGGCAAAGCAAAAGGGGCTGCACCCACAATCCTAGTATATTTTAACTCAAAGTTCTTACTGCCACTGACTAAGCCTCAAAGTTCGACTGTTTAGAATCAGAGGAAGAAACCGCACAAAAATCGGGAAGCCACCAAATTATCAGCAGCCAGTGAAAGGGGGCAGGGCCTTCGGAGGAACTCTAAGAAACCAGGCTGAGACCCCAGGCAGGCTGGCTTTGGCATGCAGGCCCAACAGTTCAACACCCCTGCTTTAGGGTCATAGGAGCTGCGTAGTCACTACAGATTCTGCTTGGTCTCCCTCTGCCACAGGAATGCACAGGACACTGATCTGGTGGCCTGCAAGGACAAGAAGTACCCCACTGCTGCTGCTACTTGCACTTGCACCTGAAGTTTATTGTAGCTTAGATGTAGCTAAGTTCTTCTCCTCCCCAACTCACTGGTGCTTGCTTAGATTGTAACTTACTTTTTCTGAACTTCTGTGGTACCCTTCTCCTCTCTGACCCCAGCACAGCGGAAGGACACATGGCCTCTCCTCCACCTCCATGCCATGTATGGATCTGGTTGGAAAAGTGCCCTCAGTGGCAGCGGTGATGCTCACAGGAGATGCTGTGCTTCACAGCCTGGAACACGGATGCACAGATCTTGGTCAGATAGAACGTGGCACTGGCGACTGGTGGCTGGGCTTGTCCCTCCAGACCTTGCCCTGAGATCCATCATATGCATTCACTGGGGCGTGTGAATGAATAGTATAGTTTATTAAGGAACAAACTGCACTCTTTATATTTTACAGACACCACATCAGCATTTTCTTCTGCAAACAGTGGAGTAAAGCCCTGTTGAGCTGTTCCCAGCCACCGCACTGAAGAATTTGGCTTTCCCTGAGCCACATGTAGCCAGCACACATTGGCAAAGGCACGACAACACGCTTTGCCAAGCCTATTTACTACCAGTAAGTGAGCTGCCAGGCTCCTGTCAACCTCATGCCATCTCTCTAGGGTTGTTTGGTGGATTTACTGCTGCAAGCCAGACCAATGTGCCATGATGTAATGTCTCTGACTTCTAAGATACACAGTAGCTGATAGTATTAAACCCATATCATACTTAAATGGGTAGATTGTGAGAGAACGATAGTAAGGAGAGAACCTGAGGCACAGCGAACGGCAGTCAAAAGCAGACCGGCGAGAGGGCGGGGACTCTGCCCTTATATACAGGGGGGAGGGGGAGCGGCGTTCCTGCCAAAAACCGTTAGAGCCGAGAGAATCTTCCCAAAAATAGGCACTGCGCAGGCGCAGCATCCATATGAGTGGTGCACAGAGACCACGCTGAAGAAGGGTACTGTTATTTCGAAGGAGCCTTAACATTCCTTTCCAGTGAAACAAGGACAGCTCAAGTCGTTTTGCTTCCTGAGACAAAGGACAAGATGATCCCCCCCCCGGCACCCCCACCCCCACCCCCGCCACCCATGCCACGTACAGAAGAAAACGGGACTGGCCTTTGAAGTTTGCCTCAGTGCCAGTGATGGGACTGGCAACAGGCTAATTTAGGGAGCACCGGACTCTTCAGGTGGACACGCAGCTCTGTCCTCCGAAAGAGGGGAAAACTGTGGGGGACTGGCTGGGCTGAGGGCAAGCCTGGAATTCTGCTCTGTTGCCTAGCCTATCCCTGCCTTTCACACGGCATTTTGCAGCTAGTTACTAAAATAGTTTGGTAGCAATGAACTACCAAAGACCATCAACTGATGTGCATTAGCACTTGAGTGAGACCTACCTCACCAAGGAAACAAAATGGTTTCTTAGTATGTTTTTCCCATCAATGGCTAGGTATAACCAGGTATATCAAGGACATTTAGTCACACCTGGAAACAAAATCCTCTTTTCTTCCCATTTCTAGGTCAGGGTAAGCCAAACTACAAGGATACATGACCAGTTATCCTACTTGCAGTACAACCTCTTCTGTATACCAGCACTTCTGTTTACCAGCACTGTTTCCTTCAGGTTTTGGATCAGAATTAGTGGGTGGGAAGAGGCTACTATCTCTTTCATGCTTCTTTCAGGCAATGAATTCCCCTGCTTCAACACCATCCCTACCCCAATCCCTTCCTTACAGCTTAGTTCTTGCTCATGAAGTGATCCTGACTGAGCAGGGATTGTGTAGTGACTGTGATGGTGCTACAACATTGCCCAGAGAGAGAAAACTGCTTTGCACGGAAGCAAAGCTCCCCAGATTGATCATGACCAATCAAGAATAGGCAAGCAAACCATTCCTAGGCATTGCAGTGATTCCCCGCACCACACCCCATCCTGAAAGAGTGGGCACTTTTTAATGGTGATAAATATATTCCTGAAAATCATTGACTCTGCTCTATTTCATTTCCTTATTACTGTTACGTATCTCATTGGCTCCTCTGGCAGTCTTCCATCTGGAGACCATGGTTTACTAGTGCAATAGTAGGTATGTCTACTCAGAAGAAAGTCCTGTTGCATTCAGTGGGACTTCTACCCAGGAAAATGTGAATAAGTTGGCAGCCTTAGTCTCAGGGACAGATTCCAAAATGGTTCAAGTGATAAAATGGATTACGTGTAGCATGCCATCCATTTACTAACACCCCAAGATGCTAGCAATGGGATGGTCTCTAAAAGCTTTAAACAAACAAACTATATAGGCTACTTTTCCAAATTTAGCACTCAGTAACCCTAACTGCAAAGCTAGTCCAATAAAGAAATTAATTTCGAATTCCCTCTGCTTGTTTTCCTTGTACCCTCAAGTATACTCAGGTAATTTTGTTGCCTTTTAAAAGCTGTTAGCACTAATCATTTAAAACTGACTTCATTCAAACTGCACTGGATATGCAACCTTGACCTTTTCTATAAAAGGTTTTCGTTGTGCACTTGTTATTCCCAGCTTATGGCTGTTTACAGGTTTCTTGGGCAACATTACAGGCATATTTTCATTTCTGCTTCTTTCACTATGAAAGTGGAAGAAAGCACAATTTCCTCTTACTTATTTGTCCTATTCCACTATACCACAGTGCCACCTGGTGGTTACACACCAGAAATGCAGGAAAAGAAATGATCCTGAAGCTCCCTCCCATATAATGATTGGATACATTTTGTGACAAAACCAAGGGTAAATACAGCTAATTAACAAACTTGTAAAAGAATTCAAAATGTTTAATTTCCTTTTAAAGCAACTCTTTTATTACCCTCAGACAAATTGATGCAATGGATCAAAGGGAGGTAGCAGCAACAACAGTATTGGTTTAATCAGCAGGGATGCTGACTTTCTTGTCCATTCCTTGCTTCCTATGAACTTAGCTCAGTCAACACAGAGGTGCTGGAATGTGGGAGAATGAATGCATTTTTCCAGCAACAACATATTGCTGTGAACTGCCTCTTTTACAATGTAAAGTATTTGGGGCAATAAAGACCCATTTGTTTACGAAGTTAACTGAGCGCTTGGGTAGCATAATGGACTGTTGGACTGGGACTCAGCAGATTCAAGTCCAGACTCAACCATGAAGTCCACCGGGTGACTTTGGGCCAGTCATGGACACTCTGTGTAACCTACCTTATGGGGTTGTTGTTAGGATAAAATAGAAAGAAGGGGGTTGTGTAAGCTGCCTTGGATTCTTTCAGGAAAAGGATAAAATATAGGTGTAGAAAATTTTTCACTACACTGCTGCTCACCAGGCCAAAGAAATAATTAAACCAGGATGGACAAGGACTACTTTCCTTCCCCCTTAAGCTCTGCTTACTAACTGCTTTCAGCTGTCAACCAAGGCTAGAACCCTAAAGACACATCCACAAAGGCCCATCCGACTGGAAGCACCATAGTTTTGGTGGCACTCCAGAACTTAGGCCAATCCAGAGAGCATCTGATATTTTGTTTGCACAGAACCACCACCCATCCACACTTATGCAGCACGGCAAACCAACCTCCCTCCAACCAAGCACTGCTCCGAGACATCTTTTATCTTGTGATGGGATAGCAAGTGCCACCCAGCCTCTCTCCCCAGTCAAGATGCAGAGCACTCAAAATCAAGTCAGCCCTTCTGGCACAGGAAGTGGAAAGTCACACAAGTACCTCTCCACATCCCCGGCAGTAAAAAATAAATGACTAACAAATTAAATAGCTAACAATTTGCTACATTTTGATGACACACAATTTCTGCTGCCTGAAGTGGCTGCCTCATACTGCAAAACGATAAGGCCAGCTCTGTAAACTGCTCAGTAAACTGCAAGGGCAGATTTCCATGAGGTAAAAAGGCAACCAGAAGCTAGAGTGAAGTGCTCCTAGTACAGAGGACAGAGGCAAACTGCAGCAGCTTTCCCTCTGGCTGATAGATGGGGCAAGCCAAACAAAGAAGTTGGAAGGAGACCAGTCACATTGCTGAAGAAAGAGCTTGATATTAGCCATGGGCCAAATTCCCTCACCAGGCCTTTCCATCTGGCTCGTGAGAACCCTACTCCCAATTCTGCCCCCCACCCCCAAGAAGTGACAGGGATCAAGAGAGTGGATCCCAGTTGACCAGCCATTCCTTGCGCCACCATTATTCAGCTTCACTTCCCCCTCCCCATTCCAATCAGGTGGGAGTCTGAGGGGGAATAGGATGTATGAATGGCATGAGTGTGTAGAGGGAGCACAACCGAGCATATGTGTCAGAGGACACTTTCAGCAGTGGACTGTACCCACTGCTATCCCTGCCTCGAGTTAATTAGTCTCTCAGGCCAAACGTTGTTCCTCAGCCCTAATCTAATGTGTCAAATTGATTAAAATACAGATGGGTGCCCCCTCAGGGAGCCTTGCCTCTTTTGGCTGTGCCCAGAAAATTGTATCTTGCATTTGACTCACTTCATGAGTGCCTTATTCCTCCTGAAAGATAACTCTATTTGCCACATTTGGCTTACCGCTGTTTGTGCCATGAAACCTGAGACCTGCTCAATGGCTTCTATTCAAGTGGAAAACATGCAAGGGCTCTGCAGCACGTCACAGCTCCAGATTGAAAATTCTTTCAGCTTCCTCTGCATAGCATAGTCTGGAAATAAAACATATGGAGTTAGCACAACGGCTGATTGGATTTTGATTGCTCTGAAACACAGCCAAGTTTAAAGTGGAGAGTGCAGCCTGAAAGGAAATACAGTAGACACTAGACAATTTATTTGTTTCTGAGAGGGGACCTGGCTGACAGACTGCTTCGAAGGTGGCTAACAAAAGCAATATGTTTCCATCTGGAAACCGTATGGGGAGCTAAGCCAGTATCTTGAGAAAGGGCACAGTGGATAGATGTGCTGCTATCAAAAACAGAGACATAGCAGCCTTGTAAAACTGGAGCTGGTCAAGAGCATCACACCTGAGGAATGACTCAGATGAAGAACTGATATAGCTGATGAACAAACAGGTGCCCACTAAAACAATATAAAAGCAAGACACTGGAAATGACAAGAAGAGGACCATTGAATGGGTAACAAGATGGAGGAGGACTGGCAAAATAGCTTCATATCAAACATCGAATTCACCTGAGGCACATTTCTTGGTCCCAGCCTCGCTGTGGTCATACAGACAACCAGAAGTGTGCAAAATCCAGCGGCCCTGGACAGACGCATGGGTTCCCACTCATGGCACCAAGGTGCATGTGGCCCTTTCAGTGGCAAGGATTGTGGAACAGACGCACAACCATGTTCAGATGCAGATTTGCAGGCTCCACATTCATTAGGGAGAGCTCAGGATGTAGTTTTCTCTGTTGAGCTGAGGAGTGAATTATACAAAGAGAATAAGGAGTTGACTTACATGAAGGCATAACAGTGGTCTATCTATTCCAGTGCTATTTATTCTTCCTGATTGCAAACCTCCTGGGTCACAGACAGAGATCTTTTGATAGCTTTTTTTAACTGAAGGTGACTGAGATTGAACCTAGGACCCTATGTATACTATCCTGCTCCCACTAGTTATGATTTCTGGAAACCCATACATCCAAAGGTACCAAAAGGGATCAAGCTGGCATTGGGCTCCTATTTGGTCACTATGGAAATCATGGTGCCATGCTCACAGTGAGATATTCCCTCAGTTTCCCAAGCCAATTGCATAATCACTATGGACTCCACATTGGCAACCCAGCCAGCAAGATCAGCAATGGTCACTAGCAGACAAGGTGAGTAGCTACTTTTTCAAGGGAAAAAATATATATTTCTAAATTTCTATTTCAGTACGTAAATACTAAATGTTGCTATGGGGAATGCCTGAAAAGCTGCTGTTCACAGTGAAAAGGAATCCATCTGTTGTTTTGTATATATAAGCAATTATTGAGCATAGTTGTTGAAAAGCTCTCATGTAATTTTATTGAAGAAGCCATTTAAATAGGTAAAATTATGTTATAGAAGCTACTAAACTGGCTCACAATAAATAAAACACTAAATTTATTATCAGTTAAAATTGTTTACAAAATAAAACATATGAAATTAATAAAACAACATTAAAATGTCAAGATATTGACATCGGTAAAAGTGTAAGATGGAAAGGCTTTGAAAAATAGGCCGTTTTTCACTTTCTGGTAGAAGATAAAGAGTGAAAGGAAATGACATGCTACTTTGGGAATACTGGGCAGTATTGAACTGGGGCATTCAACCTACACAAGTTCCATTGCACTAGCAGGACCCACAACTTACAAAATGGGGCTTCGACTGTTCCAAAAATCATAATTCTTTCTAGATTTGGACAGATCAGTGGAACTCTCTTCTCTGAGCTCCATTAACATGGGTGATTCTGGAAACAAGCACTTCCACTCATCTTGGTTTATTTTTTTGAAGTGTCAAAACACTGTTGCACAAGTAGTGAGTCCCACAAAAGCACAGACGTAAGAGGATGCTACCCATTATTCCAAAATGTAAGTGCCACAACTGAGAAAGCTTTGCTCCACACATTGAAATAATGTGTTTTGCTAAGGAATGGCACATGCAACACTGAAGTAAGCAAAAAGGAAAACAGCAGATCTTGTGCCTTGGTGTGGAATCCCCAGGATTTGTTCACATATAAGCAGATGGCAGAATCAGAGTAAAGTGGGTACTGTTTAAACTGGTAGAGTATCACAAAGGAGTCCACATAGTGCATCTGGATACCTATACTTATCTAATCATTAATCCTTTAATGGAGAGAAAAAGACCTCAGAATAAATCAAAACAGTGGATTAAAATAGAGCATTGCAACATCCTCATAAATTAACTCAAAACTCCTGTTCAAAAATAATAAAAATAGGAAGTGTTCTTTTATGGGACATAGAATTTATAAATGTTTGCAGATGTGTGGCGATAGTCACAGTTTTGTTTGTGTTTGGGTGGAATTATCACATAGGTGATCATTAATGCTAATTATGCTCTAAGCATTTGTGTGTAGCCATATTGTGCAAAACTGAACCGTTTACATCAAACAATGCTGCCCTCTTGTGGTCAATTTTTAATGAAATGTTGTCGCAGTCCCTTCTGACTTTTAGAAAGAATTCTTGTAATCCAGTTGTTCAGCATCTTCCTTTTGTTTTTGATTTTTTCTCCCCTAGTAAACTGTCTCTCTCTCCCAGAACCCAAATCTATAAAACCTTAAATATTTTAGAATTTTCTTCTAAGGAAGTTGTTCTAAATCCTTGATAATTTTGATCACCATTTCCTGTACCTTTTCCAGCTCTACCATACCCTTTCAGAGAAGTATAGACCAACACATTACACATTATTTCAAATGCAGCTGCAGCATAAACTTCCATAACTGCATTAATCTGCTTTATTCCAATGACATTCTAACTTTCTCTAATATACAATTTACATTACTGATTAAGTTTTTTTGAGCTATTTACCATGATCTTTGTTCTGAATGATTGCAGCTGGTTCAAATTCCATCAGAAGAAATTTGTGCCAAATTTGAGAATGGGGTGTATTTTGCTACAATGTATACCACTTTACATTTCCTTATAGCGCATCTCATTTTCCATTTTGTTCTCAATTCACCCAGTAGGGAGAGATCCTTTGGAGGCACTTTATAATCTGCTTCAGTTTACACCATTCTGTGTAAATGTGCCGTCTATGATCATAAAGGACTCCAGAACGTTTACGACTAAATTAAACATTGTGAGTGTCAATGTAGATTATAAAAGGAACCTTCCTCTTGCTTGCTTCTATAATGTAATCCATAAATTATTCCTTCTCCCTGTTTTCACTTCCTCAACTAGTTGCAACACTTGTTTTTCTAGGTTGCTTTAGGAGATTTTGGTGAGGAAAGACTTTTCTAGACACTTTTTAAAGTTTTTGGTGAGGAAAGGATTTGTTAGACACTTTTTGAAGTTTTGTGTCCAGCTATATATACACACTAGATTTAAGGCTATTTACAGATGCAAAGGCTTGGGTAAGGCATTGTAATTTTCTGGCTTATCTTCTCTTGAGCCTTTTTTTAAAAAATAGATCTATTGATTACCTTCCTGTTCTCTGGAAAAGAGACCAGTTCTTATGATGGTGTTGATACTGTAACTAACAGCAGCAACAAAACTATTGCAATTATTTAAAGCTTAAATCCCATTTTCCCCTCATCAGGTAGACAAGCTACATGTTTTTATTAGAATGTAAGTTCCACATTTGAATTAAGGACTCTAGGATGTAAATGCAGACTTGAAAACTTACTATTTATTGTGTCATTTAGCTCTAGAACTAGTTGTTGCTCTTACTTGTTTGGGTGCCTTTCCCATAAATGTGGCTCAGGACGATGCATTTGGGCAACATCTTCCACAGCTTCTCTGTAACCTCCCTATCATCGATCACGGATGCTTCCCTATTTTTTATTATCCAACTGCCTCCCTGTTTTCCTGCTTTTGATGAAATAATTCCATACTGCTAGCCTATGAATTTTCCTCAAAGTCTTTCTTTGTTGCCTTATTTTATTGTCAGCATACATTTCATTTTCTACAGTTTGTTATTTTTTTTCAAGATAAGGAAATTTCTTACCTTTATCACTTCCTCAACCTTGCTTCTTACTAATTATTCTCTTGGCTTTGTTTGCACCTTTCCTAATCTGGGGTAACATTTTATTGGAAATTCTCTGGTAGAGCCATTTAATAACCTCCAAGACCTCAAAAAGACCTTTGTGCTACCGACTTTCCATTTTAATGTCCTTTTAACAGTTCAGTGTCTAGACTTTTCTTCTCCGGGTGCTAAAAGTATAAAATCTGATAAAAGTGTGGTCAGAACAGTGAAGACAATGCTCCCCATTGAGGGAGGCGGCTGTGTGGTTCCAAGCCCTTATGCTCCTTCATAAATGGAGTGATAAATGCATCTGTGCAGTTAGGGCCTACAGTCCAGCGAGGAGACATGCAAGAACAGGATTGATGTCTTATGGATCAAATGCTCTATTTCATGTCAGCCTTTTGAAATACTAATTTTGCAATAGGCGAGATACTCAATCTACATAATGGGTTAACTTTCTATCTAATCTTTGAACTCTACCTCTCATCTAGATGGTTCTGAAGGTGAGAACACTTTTCTGATGCAGCTCATACATGTGCTTTTATCCCCTAGCTGAATTTGGATACATGTACAGTGGTACCTCGGCTCATGAACATCTCAGTTCACGACCAAATTGGGCCGCAGACAAAAATTTCATAAAAATTTTGACTCAGGTCATGAACTCCGCATTGGGTGGCGACCACGATTGCGGCCATCTCCCCACCTCCACCCAAAGTGCAGAGATGGCTGCGATTGTGCTAGAGGCGAGGGGGAGATGGCCAAGATCATGCCCATCTTTCCTGCAGGAGCACAAACGTGATCTCAGCCATCTCCCCCAGCATGATCCCATCCATCATTCCCCCCGTCCCTGCAGCGTGCTGGGATGACGGGCGCTTGCAGGGATGACGGTTGTGCTGGGGAGGCGGGGAGATGGCCACACTCATGCTTGGGGGGGAGGGGGAAATGGCCATGTTCTTTGCTGTTCTTTGTCACTTTGCTTCACATTTTTCTGATTAAAAAAAAATAGTTACGGAACGGATTAACCTTATTTACATTGAACCTTATGGGGAAATTTAACTTGGGTCACGACCAAAGTCCTGGAATGGATTAAGTTCGTGAGCCAAGGTACCACTGAACTTATTCCTTTTCAGGAATAAGTACATGCATCTTATTGTGTTCTTTAAAAATAATTTACATTATCCAAATAAAAGGGTTTTTTTTAATTAACTCTGTTACTCAAAAGATGTTTTTAAAAAGTTTTATCAATTAAATATGAAAATAGTCCTATCTCATAATACAACACGTTTTAAACAACATTTTAAAAGTCTTATCACGAATGCAGCTTTGCTTATCTGTATTATCTTATGTAACAAGCACTGCAATCCTTTGAAATAGAAATACAGAATGTTTTTCACAAGGGTCATTTTTAATTAGCTTAAGTGCTGCATAAATATGTAGAACATGGTAAAGATTTTTTTAAAACATCTGCTCCAAATATAGATGAAGAAAACCTTCAGTTTCTTATTTTAAGACCATTAAGATACTGTTTGGGTGGCAAAATTATTAAAATATGTTTTAGATTCAGCAGGCTGCATTTTTGTAACACAAATGAGATGTTAAAGTCATTGTGGTCACAATGCAACTGTCTGGCAGCCACATGTGGATAAAAGAAGGTGGTCAATTTTCTTCATTTTCAAACATAAAAGTGAAGGTGGGCCCAGAAAAACCTTTCCAGGACAAGCCCAGTGGGTGGGGGAGAAACAAATCAATATC